AAAAGCAAGATGGCACAAAAACAAAAAGGAACCAGCAACTAAAGCAAAACAGCAGATAACTAAACAAAATATAAATAAAAAAAACAATCAAAGCAAAAAAGACAAAACAGCAGCAGGTTAGCCACCCTTGACTGTTAGGAACCAGCACTCCACAGCAGACTTATGCTGCCTAGCCCCTCCAGCAATACAGCAGTAAGAGTTCAGACAAATGCATGAAGAAAGGACCACAGCCGCAGAGCACACCAGCATCACAAAATGGCTTCCCTCTTCTTCTTCTTCTTTGACTGCTTAACGGCGGATGCGAACTGACTTAGCGCACTACCGCCACCCTCCAGATAGATTGCGTCTGATCAACCATATGGCTCACATCCTTTATAAAAACCTGTAGCCTGCAAGCTACAGAGAAAAACAAAAACCAAACCAAAAACTACACTCTATCCATGAGTCCGGTATGCTTTAGAAATTTGAACAAACACTTTATTACCCTATGATCTGAGGCTTTAGAAAAAATATCTCTAAAGGTAAACCTTTCCCCACAGTCTTCTATCTTCCCTTTAATTACACCCCTTTCTCTATTAAACTTCTGACACATCATGACAGCATGTTCCACTGTTTCCGGCACATTGCACATCTCGCAGTTTCCAGAATTATGTTTTCCTATTAAATGTAATGTTTTGTTCAATCCGGTGTGCCCTATTCTCATTCTAGTAAAGGCTGCCTCTTCTCTTCGACACCTTCCTACCCGGCGACCTTGACCAACTTCCGAATTTATACTATAATACCCCCTCCCTCTCCACTATCCCATTTATCTTGCCACATCTTATTTACATGTTTTTTAATCACTGACTTGGCCTCTGATTTTGATACTTTACACCGAACAGACACATCAACCGCTTTCAGAGCCTGTTTAGCAAACCTGTCAGCCAGCTCATTACCCGCCAAACCTACATGAGCCGGAACCCACACAAACTTCACATGCGTCCCCCCATTTTGAATACTGTGAAGCAACGTCAACACCTCCCACACAAGATCAGACCTTTCACTTGAGTTGCCTAATTTAAAATTTTCTAAGGCTGACAGTGAGTCTGAACCAGTAGCGGCGCCAGGTTTGCAATTTTGGGTAGGCCTGCAGATTAGTAAGTAGGCCAAATTCGCTTGCAAACTACAAGGGCTAACTGGAATTGGGGTTTCAAAGAATATGGTTCAAACGCACACACGCACGCACACGCACTCAAGCACACACATACACACAAGCTCATTTATGAAACTTGCGTAGAAAAAGTACATTTTGGGTGTATATTCCATTTACGCAAAATCCAACGTCGGATTTATGAACGTGTGAGATCCGCCCAGATCTGAACGTACGCAGCTGCGGGTGTTGATAAATCAGCTGAATACGAACGTATTTAGTCACGCCTATTATGCAGCAATCGCGTGTTTCACGCCCCGTCTTCGTGACAGGTCAGCAGGAAGCCGGCCTAAAAGACTGTTTGGAAGCCTCAAAAGGCACGTTTGTTTGTTCATGTTTATGTAATAATAAATATGCGCTATATATTCAGCTGCGTTTTGAACAAATTTGCTAAAATGTTTTGATACATTAGAAAAATCTCTCTTGAATTGTAGAAGTGAATAAATATAGATTGATTGAATGAATGAATTAATTCATATGCAGCGGTGGCTCTCATGAATGAAGCGTCTGCAGCGTCTTGGACGCAGCCTGGCTCAGGGTAGAAGTGCGCATTGAAGCGCTGTACACTTCAGAGAGCGTTTGCGGTCCAGATTTCACAAAGAAACTCTGGAGCCAAAACTTCTGCACATGTGGCGCGACCTCTCACGGCACTCGCTGCGCACTCTGGACAGGGCAGTGAGACATTTGTGAGTGAGCAATACCATCGATGTGTTATTGGGGTGTGTGTCTGTGTGAGGGTTACACAAATCTAATGAAATAAATAACACATTGCTTTAGATGTGAATGAGGAATACAAATAGCCGTGCGTAATTACGCAGCGCAGAGCCTGCCACAGCAATAGATGGGTCACACATCCCTGTTGCGTAAAGTGTATTTATATAGAGCCTTTGACTGTCCAGGATCACAAAGCGCTTCACATTTTAAAAACATACAGATCAAAATAATACACACACAAGTCAGATTTAATAGAAGGTTCTCATCATGAGCTGTGATTTATTCGAAGTTTGCGTGTTTCCATTTAAATTTGGAGAGACGTGAAACAAGAAGCTTTGAGTATTTTATTGGGAGGAGGTTTGGCGCCCTAGGCCCCGGTGCGGCCTTCGGATCGGAGGGCCTCCATGCGAAGGAGCGAGCCAATCCCCCGGGACCTAGGCACTGGTGGCGGCATTTGCAGCGGGAAGCAGATTGAAGGCAGAATGAAGGCAGGGTGAAGAGGAGGAGGAGGGGAGGCGGTGGTTGCAGGCTTCGAGAAGGCCGAGAATGGGAGTTCCTCCGCTTTTAAGCAGCTTGCCTGGCTGGACCGGTGATTGGAAGGGGGCGTTTGCCGTGCGATAGGCTGGGGATGAGAACCGGCCTGGAGGGGTTACCTTTGGCTGACGTCTACCAAATTGAACTTTCGCTGGCTGCATTTCAATTTGGAGAGACGTGAAACAAGAAGCTTTGAGTATTTTATTGGGAGGAGGTTTGGCGCCCTAGGCCCCGGTGCGGCCTTCGGATCGGAGGGCCTCCATGCGAAGGAGCGAGCCAATCCCCAAAAAGGTTGTGAGTTGATGGAGTTTTGCAGCCTGGTTTGGAGGGGACGGACGTCGAGACTACTCTATGCTGTGACCGCTATCGCTATATACTGTGACCGCTATCGCTATATACTGTGACCGCTATCGCTATATACTGTGACCGCTATCGCTATATGCTGACGACCATCATGCAATATGATGCTAACCATTTTTTGCTATATACTGTGACCGCTATCGCTATATACTGTGACCGCTATCGCTATATACTGTGACCGCTATCGCTATATACTGTGACCGCTATCGCTATATACTGTGACCGCTATCGCTATATACTGTGACCGCTATTTGCTGTGACCAAACTTGCGGATACTCAGCTGCAGCCGCCACCAGGAGTTTAGCGAGTGTTTTATGGAGATGCCAAAAGCCGCTGGGCTGCCAGGATGGTCGAGGTGTCAGGCCTGATGTATGAGGAGAGGGCCGATGATGACCAGCGGCCCAGCTGCTGGAGGGCGGAATAGGGGAGCCCAAGGGACGCGGCGCGCGTGGCGGCGCCTATCCGAAGGGAGTGGGCTGTGTAGAGATGGGGAGACATGTTACAAAGCAGAAGTACGGACCTGAGTTGGGCTCTGAACCAGTTGACGGACATAGGGCGGTTATCGGGGGTAAGAAATAATGGTCCGTTGAGATCTCCTTTCCGAGAGCGGAGGCGAGTGTAATGCATCATGGATCGTGACAGCAGAGGACGGAATGAGTGGAATGCAGTGGGTAGTAAGTAAGTAATCTTTATTTATAACCGCCTTTTCACTACAGATCTGAGTCTCAAAGCGGTTTACAATTGTTAATTTTTTGGGCATTTGTCTCTCACTCCACACAGAGATGGGAGCGGGGTCGCCAGTAGGAGGCGCATGCTAGAACTATTGGACATATTTTTAGTGGTAGGGGAAACCGGAGTACCCGGAGGAAACCTACGCAGACACGGGGAGAACATGCAAACTCCACTCAGAAAGGCCCTGGTCCGACCGGGATTCGAACCCAGGACCTTCTTGCTGAGAGGCGAGAGTGCTATCCACTCAGCCACCGTGCCGCCCAGTGGGTGTGACAGAAGCTGGAGTCGACTTTCCACGCGAAACTGTATGATTTCAGTGTGGAAGGTGAGAGACCCATCTTCATGTAGGATGCAGCGGAGGAGATGAGGAGGTGAAGAGACGGAGGGACTAGTCCAGGGCGAGGGATTCCATGCAGGGGATCTGGCATGGTGATGGGTTGGCAGAAGGGCAGAGGCGTCGGAACTCCTGGAAGTCGAGATTATCGCGCATGACAGAGATCCTCTTTCTCTGCCAGGTGTGATTCCGCCGCGCGCAGGCCACAACCACTGGGAATATCTCGTGTAGGGCAGAGGAGATGCTCCGGTGGAAAGTAGCGGCCACGGCCCGGCAACCCGATGGTCCTGGAAAAAAACCCCAAAACCCACGGAAGGGGCACGTCCGTGTAGAAGCGGAGACCTGTAGGGGCAGAGACATATCGGAGAGGGCCATGAAGTCGCAGGCGCCCTTACGCCTAGAATCTTGGGTTGGAGAGTAGATAATCAGGATGGTAGGATGGTCGGGAAAAAACCGTGTCTCGGACCGCCTGAAGGGTGAGTGAGCAGTAGTGAAACGCTTATGCAGAGAAGCCATAGAAGGCGAGCGGGAAGATGCTGCGAGGAGGGCAGACGTGTACTTGGAAGAAGAGCCGGAGTTCAGTGCCGCTCAGAGCCGCTGCCGGACGGGCAGCATGATGGGGAGCCTGCGAGCAGAAGAGCGAAGAATACAGGTATGGATGCCTTTGATTAGGAGTCCGGTTGACGGCTCAGCGCAGCTACTCGGCCAGCTGCATCTGATAGAAACAGAAGATTAAGTAAAGAGATGAAGCATGACCGCCGAAGCGGCCCTGGGAGCATAGGTGCGAGTCCAGCGCAGCGCGGCATACTCAGCCGGGCTGCATCCGTTAGAAGCAGGATAAGCTTCTGAGAGAGTGGGTTGCAGCAGTAGCAGTAGCAGTAGCAGCAGCGGCAGCAGCAGTAACCTCAGATAATAACGGCAACGACCTGTATCAGCCGCGGCAGCAGCTGCTGCAGCATCCGTAGATATAACGGCAAAAACCCTGTATCAAAGCCACGGCATTAGAATATGTTGTAGCTGTTTAGTGTTTCGTAAGAGAAGCGAAGTGAAGAGAGATGACGAAGTACATGAAGCAGCAGCAGCACGGCAGTAGTAGCAGTATGAAGCAGCAGCAGTAGCAGCAGTAGCGGTAGCAGTATGAAGCAGCAGAAGCAGGCAGCAGGGACAGACAGCAGCAGGAGCGGCAGCAGGAACAGGCAGCAGCAGGAGCGGCAGCAGGAACAGTGGCGGCGGGATCAGGCATCAGTAGGAACGGCAGCGGGGACCGGCAGCAGCGGCGGTCAGAGAACCATGCCCATGGTTGTTTAACAGCCTGAGGAAAAGAAAAAGAAAAACCGGCCCGAATCCGAAAACATCCCATGTGAATAACAGACGTCCCCTGGAGCCATCTGCTGCTTTGGTTATGGCAGATACGCATGAACGATCACTGATCCATGCGTTCATAGCTCCAACACCACTTCACGCCCATTGCAGAGTCATGTTGGGCCCTTTTTCTTTCTGCTGCACTTTCAAATGCAACAACTGCAGTTAGTTACCTAATTAAATACCAGCGACCTAGCTATTTAAATGCATGGTTTTACTGCAAGTGGCAGAACATGAATCTGAATAATGCACATAGCTCCTCGTATATCCCTCAGACGATAGAGATTGATGCCATTTAATATGCATTGCCCCTCAGTTAGCTCAAACACGTGTGAAACGGAGCCTGCAGACCAAGCACGGGGCGAAAAAACTGGCGCCTGCAGTCAAGTGCGCGGGGCAAAAACCAATCGCCTGCAGCCCAAAACTCCGGGATTAATCTGTCCGCGGTCAGCACACTCACTGTACTCACATGCCAGGAGACTTGGGAAAAGCAACGGGACAACGCGGCACCGCCAATCGAGGCAGGGACACGCACGGCACCGCCAGACCTTCTGCGTGCGGCAGCAGGCCACGAGGAACGAGCAGCACGGCACCCGCGGAGGGCCCCGCGGAGCAGCCCGCAGAAGAGCCCGCAGAGGAGAGCAGTGGAGATATGCGAACCGCAGCAGGTGCAGGGACACGGAGGGGGAGCGGACCAGTGCAGGGACGCGAAGGAGGAGCAGACCAGTGCAGGGACGTGGAGGAGGAGCAGACCAGTGCAGGGACGTGGAGGAGGAGCAGACCAGTGCAAGGACGCGGAAGCGGAGCAGACCACAAGCAGCCAGACGGAGGACGCCAGGGACGCGCCGAGTAGCGTGAGTAGACGAAACGATTCCTCCTAGACGATTCTTTGCAGCAGCTTCGAGAAGGCCGAGAATGGGAGTTCCTCCGCTTTTAAGCAGCTTGCCTGGCTGGACCGGTGATTGGAAGGGGGCGTTTGC